CCCCAAAACCCCAAAACCCCAAAACCCCATAAATCAACAAAATATTACGATAGAGATTTATGAAATTAAGTTTGATTAGTCATAATTACTTCAAGTGTGTCTCATACTTACTCACCTTAAATGTGAGTCAAAACACTAACCTCAAATGAACAAGAGCTCAACTGCAAGCATTTTAAGATCACTTGAGAGAACAGAAGCGTATGGAGCATTGCTGACTTGCTCTCTAGCATTTTCCTTAGTTAATAGTTGAATCTTGGCTAAGTCATTGATGTTAAGATAGTTATCGTAGTTGAGTCCAGTGAGGTTGATCACACTGGAGAAGGCTTCTTTCTTTGACTCAAACTCTAGATAGAAGTTGTTTATGAACTCCATGCCCTCTCTCACTACTTACTGCAACTCTGGTATCATTTAACTCTCTTTGTTAAGTTAAACCGGGACTGAGGAGAGATAGAATCTGACTTGCTCGAAAGTCTATTCAAATGGATCTGACTCTTCATTTATTTTCTTGAGAATATCTGATTGATTGATGACTCTGTAGTATTGAGTAAAGATCTCAATTTCAGAAGAAGCCTAACCGAATCTTCTCAAGAACACATCTCCAATATGTCCGAGGATGGTAAATGATCCATATAACTTTGATTGCTCTTCACCTTCTTTGGGATCATCAGCAGGTCTTCCATCAATTTCTGGAAGTCCAGTCATATCCTTTAGCGTATCTAATGAGTAGCTTTCAAGTTACTTAATAAGTCCAGCCTTGTCAGCAAGATTCTGTCCGCTTAAGAGCACTCCATACTTCACTCCAAATGAAACATTGAGGTCTAATATGTTATCGTAGTGCTCAAACATTTGCTCCTGAGCTTTTTGGTCTACAGCGAATGGAGTCAGGAATGCGAGTGCCACAGAACAGTTAACTAAAGTCTTCTCATTGAATTAGGATTTCTTGGTTTAAACAATATTGAGGAGAGTTTGATGAATGCCCTGAGACATGGTTTGCTGAATGGATTTACCACTAAGTCTAATTATGATGGCTAGGATCTCAGATACTTCAACTTTACTGTTGCTGTCTATCTTATCTCCATCTAGCATGCTAGAAAGCTCTTTGACTATTGGATCAATCTTAGGAGCTATTTTAAGGAATAGAACTAAGCATTCGATCACAACCTTTCTTACAACAATGGTAGCTTGAGAATCATTGAATGCCTTCAAGAAGGTGGTTTGGAGCTGAGGAGCCATTGGCTTAACTAAAAGTTGAGCCTTGATAAGAATAAGCTTAAGTGCAAGGAAGATTTGAACTTTGAGTTGAGGTGGGAACTTGTCGTTGACAACACGAATCAAAGCACCACATATCTTGATGAGCTCAGTCTTGATGGCTTCAAGTTTACTGAAATCTATCAAGTATTGGAAGAGGATTGCTGAATCAATTCTTATATCAATTGAACCGTGAGTAATCGAATTTTAGATTATTCCTGATAATGTCTTTACGCCCTCTGCTCTCTCAAGTAGCTTTATTGTGTTGATTTTCTTTCTATAGAGAGTTCTGTCATTATCTCCATCTCCACCATAGCTAATAGTTTATTATTCAACTGCGATTTCTTCGATGACATCTTTAATCAGGGGAATATGAGTGAATTGATTTTCTTTTTACAGTCCATTTACAATTGCATTGAATGATTTCACTACTTTCTCAACTAGTTTATCATCCTGATCATTCATTAAGACTAATACATTTCTAAGATACTGTGAAGCGAACTTTTCGTAGTTGACTTTAGAGTTTAGACAATAGTGGCAAATGAAATCAACATAGTAAGCGAGTCTACCCTTTTGAGAGCATTTATAGTGGAAGGTGCTGATGATCTATTCATTAGTAGTAAGAATCTCATTTTCTTGAACAGCAGCGATCAACTCTGAGAAGGTATTAAGTACCTCACCGATTCTGACTTCATCGTCGATTTCATCTACTGTGAGTTCCTCTATAAGAGCATTTAAGACGTTTCCGAAGAACTTCTTCTTGAACATGTGTAGAGCAATCTTTGGAGAAATGGCTGCAAGGATTCTAGCTTGTGCAATAGTAATAGGAGTCTCATGGATGTCAAGAGCGCAAAGCTTGATGAACTTGTCCTCAAGTTTAAGCTCTGGTGAGCCATTCACCATGATCTTAAGATTTTCAATAAGCAACTTGGCTTCTTTGTCGCTCTTTTGCATGATCAAAGCGTGAAGCTTCTTCATAAATGATTTATCTAACTGAGAGGTAATGAATACAGCCTCGTATGTTCTCTAGAAGACTGTGATGAATACCTGTCCACTGAGTTTTCTGATCTCATCATTTTCATTTGATAAGTTAGCGTCAACAATAGCTAGGAATCTGTGTCTAAGATCTGAGAGTAGTTTGGTTGGAGCTGCATATGTCATATTATAGATAGCTTTGCAGATACCAACAGTCTGAGCAGTAGTTTTGGCTCTTTCGAGATAGCTGTCCAAAATGTCAAGAGTTTCACTAACCACCTTTTCACCGAATTTCTCTACTATACCTCTCATGCAGTTCAATCCCATTTCTTAGAGTTCAAGATCTTCACTCTGGATGATTGAAAATACTTGCTTGAGTAAAACTGGGAGGATCTTCTTTAGAACAGTAAGTTGGTTATCAATAAGATTTTTCCAGATTTAAGCTGCTTAGAGTGCCACTCTTTCAATGATATCATATCTAAGTGTGAACATGCAAGATAAAATTTCTTGCTTGGTCTCAATTGAGATGTACTTGGGTTGAGATTTGATTACATCATTTTCTAATTCTTTGACAAGTTGATACATAAGCACGGATGAACTCTGTCTGACTTTAAAGTCTCTGTGGAACATCATCTCCATAATTGGTTGAACGAGTTGGTTAGGGGCTTGTCTGGCAAACTACTTGATGCAGATTTTGACGTTCCTCATTGATATCTTTCTTACATCCTCTACATCATCAGATAGACCTTGAATCATAATAGGCAATAGTTTTGGAAGATGCTTGACAAATTGATCGAAGCAGGTGGCAAGGAACACCATCACACTTCTGAAGGACTCTCTGATTAGTGGGTCATTGTCATTTGACTTGGAGATAATTCTGTCAATAGTGTCTTCGAAAAATTTAACTCCGTGGACTGAGATGATCTCAGCAAAACCTTGGGCAGCACCCTGCTTTTCTGAAGACTGAAGGTTTCTCTCATGGAGGACTTGATCAAGCCACTTAAGCATCTCATCTGAGTTTTGAAGTCCGAGTCCCTTTGACAAACTACCAAGAGCTTTAGCTGCTGAGGCTCTAATCTCTGGAATTGAGTCGAAGAGGGAATTCTTGATGGCAGGCATTAAAATCTTAATGTATGGAAGAAGATCCTCTGGGTCTTGAGTTAGGTTGCAAATATTACCCATCAATTTTGAAGCGAGTTGCTTTGTCTCATTATCATGCATCATTAGTCCACTGTCAAGAATGGGAACTAGAAGTGACAAACTAGGAGCATCGATAGCATGCACGAAACTAGTCTCGAGCAGCATCTTAAGAGCATCCTTCAAATGAACATTAGGGTTGCTGAGAGCCTTAACTAGTATTTCTAGAATTTCAGCGATTTCAGGGCACTTGATGACTGATCCAATATTTTAGATAGCTTGAAGAGCAGCACCATGCACCTTTTCATGAGTATCATTGAGTACTTCTCTGATACCTTTAACGATTCTTGGGAGGAAGCTAGAGATTTGTCTTGGGGCACAGAATGCCATGTTACCAAGAGCCTCAACTGAGGCGAGCTTGGATCTCCAGTTATCGTTGTAGAGTCCATTGAGGAAGATTGGGAGTACTTGCTTGATGGCGTGATTGCTAAGATTGCCCATAATAGTCTTGTTGGCCTGGATGGCTGCTCTTCTCACGTTTTCCTTATGGTCTGAGATGCAGAGCATGATATTTGGAAGGATGACCACAATGTTCATTTCAAAGACCTTGCCGAGACTTAGGGAAAGGGTCTCATAGAGGAATAGGGCTGCAACCTTTCTTAGTGGATCAGCATTCTTGAAGAAACATTCCTTTTGAACAATGGAAAGTAAGTCAATCTGCTGGATGGTCTGCATGCCTAAACCCTTAATAATGCCGGCTACTGCAAAGGCACTACCTCTCAGTAATTTTTCATCCATGCTAGTTCTGAGGATTTGGAAGTTGACTTCTAGGAATTTCCTGGATTTATCATCGAAGTATCTAGCAAGTTGTGGAATTACCTTGCAGATTGACTGTCTGATAAGCTCAGATGGGGTATTGAGGAGTTCAAGCATCTTCTCGAAGGTGCCCACCAATTTCTTCTAAGAAGTATTGTCCAGATATTAGGCCAGAGAGCCAATCATAATAATGGCTTGGTTCTTGCTTTGCTCTGAGTATTTCTTTGATTCATTTATGAAGTTCTCAAGAATCTTCAAAATCTCCTCTGAGTAGTCAGAGCCCTTGGCTTTAATGATTTAAAGAGCAGCATTTAAGTTAGCTTTGGCAACTTATTCATTTTGGTCGAGGCATCCTTTGGTTACAAAGTACTCATAGATCTTCTTGAAAGAGTTAGCTTAGACTAAGTGAGCAGTTTTAGTGAGAATCTCAGGCACTGCAATTCTGTTAAGTCTATCATCTAGCAGTAGTTTCTGAGTTGAGAAGCCAGCAGACATATTTCTGCCGCGACCAGTGCTTTGCTAGGCTTGGAGACTGTTAATCAAACTCTCGTTCTCAATTATCTGGATCTCTTGATTGTAAAACTCAATTAGATCGTCAATTATCAAATCGAATCTGTTTTGGAAAATCTCAATAGCTGCAATGGTTGACTTCAAAGTAGCATCATAGATGTTGGTATTGCCAGATCTAAGGTAGAGGTACACATTCTTGTGCTTTTGCTCACTAGCAAGGTCAATCACTCCGTTTCTAAGAGACATACCATACTTGTTCCAGATCTTTCTGGCAAGCTTGTTGCAGTCATCATCGAATTGGAGAACCCAGAACTAAGTAGCCATCCAGATGGGGCAGAACAATGGTTGATCGTACTCAACGAGCTCCTTCAACAAAGCCATTCTTGGAGTTGGCTCGTACTCGAATAGTCTCTAAAGGATAAGAGCGATGTATTCTGGCTTAAGTCTTCTCATAAGCTCATTTAGATATGGCTGTAGGTTTGGAGAGTTGTAGCTGGACTTCATCATGTTAATTGTAACTCTAACGAGCTCGATATCTTGGACTTTGTCTGTTGAGAGGAAGCTTTGGATGACAGAGAGAGCTTGTTCTTTCACACTGAGGTTGACTGAGAGATCTTTAAGGACATAGTTGCCCATAGTCATAATCAAGAAGGTGTAACCCTTATCATAGGAATCAATGTTTGTATTAGCTTCAATATGTTGGAAAATAGCTTGGAACTCTCTTTGATGCTTAATGAAGATCTTTCCTTGACTGATAGCGACCATGCAACTCACAAGTTCGTTCTTTACTGCAAATAGTGGGTCTCTCTTGTGATTTTTAAGAACTTGTTAAAGACACATAATGGTGGAGAACTTGGAGTAAGTGTAGTTAAGTAGCTTGATCATTGGATCTAGTAGGTAGCCGAATGTGGTATCTAAATGGAAACCGTTTTTGTTAATTCTCTTCACGATCTCATAAGCAGTCTCGATTTGCTGAGCTTTAACAGTTTAAATCTGAGCGAAATAGTTGAGTAAGCTTTGTCTATCCATCTTGTTTCTTGTCTCTTTGTCCATTGCTGGCTACTGAGGTGCTTATTCTTATTTTTTGGGCTCTGGCTTAGTTTCTTTTTTAGGTGGTGCTTTTGCTGGTGCCTTAGATGCAGCTCCTCCTTTTTTAGCTGCAGCTGCTTTTTTCATGGCTGCTTGCTGCTTCAACATTTATGCAGCTAGCTTTGCTGGATCAATGACAGCTTCAACAACTGGTTCTTGCTTTTTCTCTTCCTCTTAATTGTTATCCTATCCTGATGAAGACTGCTCTTAGTCAACGCCTAACTCCTCTTGGTAGATTTTCTAGTCTACATTCTTGAATACTGTCAGTAAGTCTTTGGTAATTTCAGAATAGAACATCAAGTCATAGTGACTAATTAGATCGAATCTCTCCTTGAATAGGTTTTCTAACTTCAAAAGCATTTCAAATGGCTTGTAGTTTAGGATTTGACTTAAATCTGGCAAAAATAAGTTCAATCCACCGAGAGCAGCCAAAGCAGTAGCCATGTTGACTGCTTGCTTTCTCAAAGTTGCATCAGATGATAGAATACCAGTTCTTTGAATAATGGCATAATCAGCAATCTGCTTACCATACTTGATGAAATAAGAGTCAAGCTGCAGTTCTTGATCTCTTGAAGCCAAAACTTCCTTAAGAGTAGTGACTTAATTTATGATTTATTTGTTTCCTTGAGAGACATATGGGTGGGAGATCAATTTCAATAGCATAAAGAATTCATTCTAGGTGAGTTCTTTCTCTTTATTCTTCAGTAATAGCTTGAGAGAAAGTCTGATTTAATGCTCAACATTCATATTTGGCTAGTGTGGGCTATCTTCTCGGGTAAGAACGATTGGTCTTAGACTGACCTACTTGACTTTGAGGTATAGTGACTTCAATAGATTAGCAAAAACTGTCTCGGTTTATTATGAAGTTAAGGTCAAGTTCTAGATAACATCTAGATATAGATGTTCTCTGAATTTAATAGACTAGTTTAGTACTAGCTCAAAGAGGGTATCTCTTAGCAGGACATCTCCAGTGGTAAGAGCTTGATCATGATAGTGATAGCCTATTAATGCTTCAAGAGCCTTAAGTTGATATTTAGTGTCAAGATAGCTAGGTGGCTTGGCAAAGTAAGTAGGAGTGTTAATGAATCCAGCTGTAGTAGCAAGATACTTAAGAATGTTATCATTTTGAGCAAGGAATTGCACATATGACTAGTCCTTCGTGTACTCAGCAGCATAGACAAAGAATCCAACTAGTGACAAAATCTAAGAGAAGTTTGCTACAAGCTTAAAGTTCTCAGATGAAAGCATTTGTTTGAAATGAGGTGTGCAAATCTGAATCACTTCTTGTAAATCTTATTTCTTGGCAGCAATCAACTCAACAAAGAGAGTCACATGCCAGTGAGTGTTAGCCTTTGAGATAAGCTTTCTTACTTACTCAGCTGCAAATCCAAAAGACTGTGGGATCAGGAAGACCTTTCTGACTGATTCAAAGCATTCTTTGATCACTGGCTCATCCTTAACTGAAAAAATGTGCTCAATCAAAGCAGCTACAATGACTTAAAGTTGTTCTTATGAAATTAATGATTAAAGAGTGGTTGATTCAAGGGAGGCACTCAAGTGCTTAAGCATGTTTTATCTTTGGTTGACATTGAATTAGGTCTTCGAGGAGGTAAATCTCTTTAGCAAAAAGTCTAAAACAAGAGCAGAGGCAATTTCTTAATCCTTAATCATTGATGCCAAATTTCTGAAATAATCTGAGCAATCATTAGCATAGTCTTGACTCACTAGGAAATCAGAGGTGATAATACCCTCAGTGAGTAATCCGATTATGTTCTTGTCAAAGTTGACTGACTTTAGATGATTAATGAGTTAAGAGACGATTCCAATGAGGGATCCGTTTCTCTTCATCATGAATTCAATCTGGGCAAAGACGTCTTTGATAAATGTCTCGTTGTCTACGATAGTCAAATAGGCTAGGAAATATCTCAAGTTGTTGTATCTAGCACTCTCTTTATCGTTTAAGACAGCTAAGTTGAGTTTATTGCTGATTTAGCTTAGGATCTAAGGGGAATCATCAGCATTATCCTTGGCAAATAGAGCTAAGAATGTATACTTTGAGAGTCTTTGTCTTGATTAGATAATCTCTAGATGCTTAGCAGCGTTGTAGTTTCTCAGCTTTGTGATGAATTTGTGCACTTCCTGAGCCTTGTTTACAGCAAGCTTTTCATCAGATGTTGAACTCACAATATGATGACTTAAATCCAGGACTACACTCACTATAGTCTCTTCGAAGGCTGGGATTAGTTTCTTAGTCACTAAAGCCTTAATCATTCCAATGAGGCCTTTAGCTCCAGTCAAAGTAAGCTTTACACGATTAGAATCGTCTTGTCCCTCAATGACAGAGAAGCTTGAGGCTAAGTTCAAGATCATTTTCTCGTAAAGTTCGTTCTCAACTGAGGCTTGATTCTCAATCTTTGAGGATTCGTCAAAGGAGTCTAGTCTCTCAATGATTTTATGTGCAAATCCAATAAGTTCCAATAAGATGTCTCTGTTTACAATAGAGTTGGCATATCTAGCAATATCGTCAAAGGCATTGCTGCAGACCTCTAAAAGTTGGTTGGGCTTAGTGCACTCGTCCAAGATAATTTTGTACTTGGTTAGCACCTATTTGTTGATCATTCTAACTTCACCAGGTGCTACATAAATCATGATAAGAATAGGTGGATAGCTTACCAAAGGTGTTGACTTCATCAATCATGTTATCGTCTTCATTTTGGTTGAGTTTCTCAACAATGATATCTTCTGTATCTTCAGGTCGTAAGTCTGACATATTTACTTATTATATATTTAATAATGAATTTTACCCTCAATTCTGACTTTTATATTAAATACTCTCAATCAATTTCATCCTATTAGAAATTGACACTCAATCACTTTAAGGGGTTTTGGGGTTTTGGGG